TCCCACTGCCTTAAGATGCAGCAGCCAATCACACACCTGTATCCAGCTCAGTTAAAGTTTAGGGAGGAAAGCCACAATATTAAGCTTTGAAAATCATGTGTCTTCATGCTAACAAAATAAAGCACTATATATACTGAGAGGAAAAGGCTAAAACACCAGTTAATGGTAAACTAGTGAAACAGTGACTGAAACTGTGAACACTCTAAAGGCTAATACAGTCATCAGTTAAGTTACTGCACATATAAAATCTGCATACTACTGCAGGATGAGCTCATTCAACCTGCAGTAGCTACCCACTACCTCATCCACAAAAAGTTCAGTTCAGTTTTAACCTGAGTTCTCCCAGTAACCAGTTTCCTGTGTGCATGTAAATGTATAGTGAAGCTGCAAAGACATTCATCAGATGTATATTAAAACTAGGATCACAATACGTAACCATTGTGCTCTTTCACACAGGATTTACCCTCCAAAGGGCAAAACTTAATCTCCATACCCTGGCACATTAGGGGACATTGCACTCTCCACATAACGAGACTACTTATAGTGAACAGCCTGATTGACTGTAGGTCAATGTAAAAGTCAGCTGGCTGCCACACTTCACCTCTCATTTCTGGTAATAAAAGCGGGTGATGGTGGGTGGCATGGCTGACACAAGGCTGGCAGTTTTAATAGTCCAACGAGTCTGTAAGACAGAAGTGCAACATATCTCTTGTAACCACAGGTCTCTTTTAGGTGTTGAGCACAGACACAGAGAGAAAAATGAACGCATCACCTGGAATCAGTAGTAAAACAACATCTGGACATGCCGCCCAGTGTCAGCGCTGTTAAACGGCAAATACATGAAGAAAAAAATAACAAAACGCTAATACCATTCTTTGGGCAATAATTGATTCTGATAATTATTCTGATGAACTTAACTGCTGAGACATGTTGGCAAGTCAATATTACAAGACAGCAAGTCCAACAGGATCACATGTTTCAAACAACTCTTCAGTTTAACCACATTTTCTACCACTTATTTATGAGTGAGAAGTCAGTATTTAAATTATTAGCCACACTGTCCACTGCAAATGGCCTGCTGTATTACCAAGGTTGTGCGTGCTTGCATGTTGACAATGTAGACGATGATAATGAAATATTCAAGTGCTTGCCCTCTTTCCTGTTCCAATAAAGTGGAATATATTATGAATATAATTACACTAGTGATTTATTTAATCGTCTGACTGCTCATATGTGCTACATCAATTAAATATTATAATAACCTAGTAATGTAGTAATACAAAAAAAATCAAGACGAACTCGAACAAGCTCGAACAAAATAAATCACAGTAGCAGCATTGATCAAGAGCTTTTAGATGATATAGAGGTTTGAGGTACTTTTCAGTTTCTATGTGGTGTCCCTCCAAATATACTGTCAATCCATTTTCATTGCTTTAAATGTGTAATGTCCAATAACAAATCTAACAGCTCACTCATCAGGTAACACTAACATATCTGTTCAAGCTGAAAATAAGCTTAGAAGAGGTTTGTCACATTTCATGTGTCCAGAATGAAGCAATGCCCAGTGGTGAAAAGATTTCTCAGCTCATTTCAGTTCAGTTCGATACTTTATTTTCTGTGCAACTAATGTTCCAGTCAGAGAGTGAGTTTATTGTTCTCTATTCATCTCTGAACTTTTGGTTTGCTTGTTACCTCAGTTTATCAATAACACATTTATTGCACAATAATATCGTGGGTGAAGGGGTGTGTGTTCCTGTTTCAATATCACTATCATATTGATACAGAGAACTCATTAAAATGTAAAATATTTGCTTAAATTCACTCTGCTTTTTCATAGTTACTGATGCTTTTAGCTCTACAGATTTTTTTTTTTGATTTTGCAACATAACTTGAACCTCTTTAGGACTAGTGCTACCTTCTAAAACCATAAACCCACATCCCGATCACCAAACCAGTGCACAATCCGCTGTTTATGTGCGCCTCAGTGCAGCCATGGGTCCACATAATATGCCAACACTGTTAAGAGGCACAAACGATGCGATATTTCCTCCCTTTGCCCCCATAAAATGGAGAAATAAATCTATTAGGTTGAAGGAGAGAGGAAGAACTCGGTGCCCCTGCATCCCCGTCACTGGGGACTAATCTTAGCGCAGAGGCATTTCTTATAGTTTTTACATACGATGAAAAACAGAGCTAATGAGTGTGATAACAGTGTGCCAATGACACACTGATGGGTCCATAGAACAATACATTTTGTAGTGCAAAACTGCCATTGAGTTAATTTATTATGTTAACATTAAAACATTTCACATTAATCTGTACAGTGTATAGTACTGTGGAATATTATATGATTGATTGATATAATCAAAATATGGAGAGTAAGTGGCAAATTTGTGGTGATTATCATGTAAAACAAAATAAATGCAGATATATATACATATATATATATATATTTTTTTTTTATTATATATTTTTTTCCCAATAAAAACTCAAATCAAAAACGTCTTTGTAAATCTGTCATGGGAACCCTGAGCAAAATCTAGTTCAACATCGGCCTAAAAGAAGACGTCATTGGGCTTTATTGAGAAGGCCACCAAGTCCCATCATTATTGGACAATCATGGCAGCCCAGCAGTCATGGCTCTCTGACCAGAACTGGACACCAACAGTCATGTGCTCAGCGTGGGTGCATGAAGCATTTATTTGTGCAGAATGGAAACTAAACAAGAGGAGCAAAGGCGAGCATTAAATTCAGATGACGCCATTATGGGATGTAGATGTTGCCGATGTCGCCAATGAAAAGTGGAAGTACGGCTGAATGGCCTGATTTAGCACGTACATGTAACTTTGCATGTGTCGTTGCTTACACGTGCCCATTTGAGGCAGATAGATATACAAAGTGCTTTAGGTAAACATTATATACGTAAAAACACAAACAGCAGCACAGAAATGAAGAGAAGACATACAGATGCGTCTGATGAACGAGTGCCTAATATTATTCCTAAATCTCTATGCCCTTCAAAAGGGAATAAAAGAACAGACCAATGAGGAAGAAAGGGGATGTTGAGTGTTGAGGAAAACAACATGAGTTCCATTACAAAAGAAAGCGCAACATTCACAACAAAGAAAAAAGGCTTTTGGAGAGGGAGCTGGAGCTAATTCAGCTACTCCTTAAGAGGAGTGATTGTTAACAGAGCCACTGGATTAAATGCACAGCCCAACCGCAGCGTAATGGCAACAAAGCATCTTCTAAATGAAAGGAAATATATAAAAGTCCCTGTAAAACAAAAAGCAATGCAGAAGAGGTTTGTGGAATGCCAAGTCTCTCAAACAAAAGAATCGTAAATGTAAATGTTTGTCTGTTTCTGCATGTATGTGCACACAGTCATGAGCCAGCCAGGCATGGACACAACCAATTTGGCTCGATTAACAACAGATGTGTCCATCTATTTTGGTTCGACAAGCGTTCTCTGCAATAACACCATTAGTTGTCTCCTCATTTGTGATATCATTTTTCAACCATACGTTTTCCCCATTAGGGCTCCAGTGCCTTTCGGTAGCTTTTCCATAACTTTGGCATATCCAGCAATGGACGGCATGCTGCTAACCAACAGGCTCACTGCAGAACCTACATCAACAGAAACCAGAGCGTGCTGGAGAAATACAACATTGTCAATTGAAAAGAGGACAACTAACATGGGCTGGAATCAGCAGTATATGAAGTCCTATTGAGCAATGCCAACGCAAAATGGTTATACAATAGAGAGTCAAAGGGAGTGTGTGTTGCTGGTTTGAGTTTTGACTGTGTGATGTGTGCAGCTTGGGTTTGGCTTATGAAGAGCCATATTTCATGGGGCTCAGAGGGTCGGGGCTGGTACCACATTTTTGATACTCTTCTTGTACTGTTTTCTTAAAACTGAGACAATAGGATGGCTCGAAACAGACATTACGTAATTTCTGTTCTCTCTTTAATAAGAAAGTCAGTGGTATTATCATTGTCAACTTCATTGTCATTACCAAATGACAGTCAGTGACACAGGCAGCGAAAAAAGAAATGAAGGGATGTGTGAAGTTGTAATCCCTTTTTTGTAATGTGTTTTCAACGTTCAGTTATTCATTTAATGATCCACTGTGAACAACGCACAGACACACACACACAAAGTAAAGATATATCACTAATAACATTCATATTCTCAATTACCTTATTCCTTACACAACACTCCAAACCTTAACCTCATTAACCTTGATATTGCCCTTATCCAGCTTCAAAGTTACAAAAACATGGTATATTCTGGTGGTTTGTTCCAGTGCTGCATTGTGAAGCAGTAGTTCACCCAAACTGAAGAATTATTCAAATCAGTTTTATACACAATTCTGTACACCACTTTAGATGCATGTGCCTTTAATTTGTTTACTTCAATAACAAATTTTGGGTATGCTGGTATTCACATGGAAGATCTGGAATCCAAACATTCTGGCTGATCGCAAATTTGTCTGAGAATTTGCACCACTGAAGTATAATTTCAATCAAGATCGATCCTGTATCAACATCCATTTCTGTGTCAAAATCAGATTTTTAGATCTTAACTGTTTCTGTTTTTTTTCACTGGTCCTAAATTGAGCTATGTTTAATTAAATTATCACAATCTAATTCACACACAGAAACAGGGGCCCATTTTTTGTCCTAGAGTTTGAACAGAGCTCTACCCAGAGAGTCCTGCAGGGTAGAAATCATTAACTCAAAACTAAACATACATAAAAACCTGTACCTATATTTAATCCTAGTTCTAACTAAATAAAGGTTTGACACTAAAAGAAACTTGACCATTAAAGGAGTGATTACTGGCAGCAATAGCATTACTGTGCAAAACATATACTCACTCCAACAGGTAAGGCTCTAAAAGGTTCTGACAAGGACAGCCATAAAGGAGCACACATACACAAATCCACACACAAGCGCACACTGTGCCCTTCCCCTTCTGTGATAGAACCCAGACTGACCTACTCGCAGCTCCTGACCGAAGACTGTCCTTTCTCCCAGCGCCGAACAGTTCCAGCGTCCATAACGGAACTGGTATTGACACTCATTGATGCCCATCTGGGCGCCTTCGCCCACAACAATGATGGCGTCCGGGCGGCTCTGGCAGATGGCCCGCTGGCGAGGTGCCAGCCCGGGAATCTTGTTGCAGATGATGTTGGCACCAAGAGCCACCACCGAGGATAGGGCCCTGCCAAGGTAAGAGAAACACATGTACACACACATTAGTGTACACACAGACACGTGCGCATACATACATGCATGCATGGTTGCACACACAGACACACACACAGACTCAGTTAGAACTTCAAGAGGATGGTCAGACTGACTCACTTAAGTGAGACTCTCCAGAAAAGGATTCAATTCGACCAATGATTGATGCACATTCCGTAGTGAAGTGAAAGCTGTACTGCATCAAAGTATTTCTATTTAATGGATTAGAGGTCAATCAAAAACCTGAAAACTTAAACCAACATAAACTTGCTAAAACAGCCCAGAGAGAGAAAACAAGATGCTTATTTGACTACTGACAACGCCATTCCACATTGGTTTGGATGGTGGGAGTTTGAGTAATGAGTTGTGGTTTATGTGTTAATTGTTAGGTAACTGCGTGCGGCATGAATAGTTGCCAGACTTCACTGTTACACAGATACAGTATATACACATGCTGTCTTACGTGTCTTGTAATGTAGATGCAGGGTTCACTTTTTTAACCAAATGTCACACAAAAAAAAAAAGATTTGTGTAATCATGTGTTTGAAAGTTTTCATAGTGTAAAGTGCTGCCTTTAAATTTCATTATAGACTACTTTTACTTTACCCAAATCCTATAACTCCTTTACATGGAATATATGTAGTGAATAGTAATATAGTGAATGTATAGTGTATAGTAAATGATAAACGTCCTTCTCAGTTTAGGGAGACTTCATCATATCGCTCGATATGATAATATCAGAACATATGTTAAAGATGGAACTGCAACCACGGAAAAAAACAAAACAGATTACAGCTAAACAAAGTGCTGACTTTCTCCACAACTTTGTTTTATAGCCCTTGAAACGATGTAGATACATACTTTTTAAACATGTCAGGGGCAGGGAGCCATAAATGAGCGTAGAGACAAACGTCGGCTTTGAAGTATGACGTCGACCTCCAAAGGCTTCACCACAAACGGGGCAAACTAACGAAGGCAAGTTGTGTGTCAGCAAAAAGCAACAGCGGCATCAGAGGAGCGAAAAGGAAGAATGCACAAGGGGCAAAGACACTAAAAAAGAGAAACAGACGCAAATTTCTGTGGATTCTAGTTCACAGTGATCTTGGTAGGACATCCCTGACGAGGAACAAAGATAATGATCGTTGATTAGAAATCGTTCTCGGACAATTATATTCCCTTTACGCTGGTTGTAAGTGTCTCCACAAAGGCAGAAAACATAAATCTCAATTTCAAACAGATAAATTCAAATAAATCCTAACTGCAGCGAGACGAGTATCTGTTTCCAGGCTGAGGACTGCACACAATCCTGGTCTTCTCAGTGCAGTCAGGGGAACGTGCTACAGTATATAAAAGGGAAATTGTGTATACTGTTGATTTAGCAAACCCTGCTCTGAAAATTACCACAAAAGTTAGGACAGCCAGTGTCTGCAGTAAACACTGAGGCCCGCTGCTGCTTTCGAACCCTCTTTGCTCTCTCTGCCGTTAAACAGGCTTGAACTCCTCTGACCCTCTGTGACCCTCTGCTGTATATGTGGTCGTTCATGGCAACAATGAGATGCAGTCTACACAAACCAAAAGGTCATGCTCATTAAGAAAAGTAATGTGCAACTGGAGAAATTCACTGTCCTGCATAATGAACGTTAAGGGTGAACAGAACTGGTTTGTTTGTATAAATCCAAAGGCAATAAAATACATTTCAGTTATTTAGATCGCCGATATTTCAGTGCACCTCTTGCAAAACACATTGATGTTTTCAAGTCTGACAAACAGAACTAATGACTTCCCCTCTTGGCTCTTTCTCATGTCATTCACCTGCTAATTCACAAAATCACAGTCTACCACTGGCAACCCAAACCATCAGACAACACCAAACAGAGAATTCCAGAGCTAAGCTTGTAAATCCCCGAAATCATCAGAGTGCACAAATGCCATTCTGTTTGCTTAGCGTATACTGTGTGTGTACGCCAGCAGCTTGGGGGCAGCTCACCCACGGTCACAGATCTACCACCAGATAGAAGGCCAACAGAAACTCTAACAACACTTGGAAATGTCACAGAATTTGTCTGCTTCGATGCTGCAGTCGCTATTAATAAATGGCAAATTTATACACAACATGGAGTGTGATATCATGTATGAGGTATTGGAGTAATGATCTAATGTATAAACTGATGCAAAGTGTGCAGATTGATCACGGATGACATTGGATATTAACACAGCTGTGATAGAGATGAAGAAGGTTTTCTTTATTAATTTCTAAGCAGCAGGTGGCATGAATTTTTGCCACGTTTGAGCCACATTAGAGTGATATGTTAGATTTTGATCAATAAACTGGTTGTGCACAAATTATTTGACAGCTACAGCTTCACCTTCAAATGTAGGCGTGAAACAGATCTTTAAAACCTTTATGTTACAAAATGTGGTTGAACGAAAAACATGTCACGCTAAACAGCCAACATTAAATGTCCGAGAAACAGTTTGAGCTGACAATAAATTGATTTCTTTGATAAAATGTAATTGAAAACATCAAATCAGTGCCAGTGTGAGCAGCAAGGAGCTTACAGATACCATCACAGGGTAGTTTGGGCTTAAGAGAAACTATAGTCATGGCATACAGCGTGATCACAGCCACCTACTCCATCACATTGAACACCTTGAACCTTACTGACACACTATTAAGCTCCCAGGCACACATCTTCTACCGAGGAATGCACTCACAAAAATGCCAGAGACACAACTTACCTAAGTCAAGTGAATAATGCTCTTCTTTTTTCCAAGAGCAGGAAATTAACTTTTATTTTAGTGCTGAATGTGATTGTCCCTCTTCTGCTGCTCGGTCACAAATAAGAGTTTAAGATGAACAGTGCAATGAGAGTGTTTAATTCATAACTAAATCCTACTTACATCTGTTTTAAACTATATCTGCAGTCGTGCACTGGTTAGGCCAGTGTGATATTAACAAAACAGAGTGAAAATGGTCAGATTATTGCCATTGGAACATTAAGTGTGAAATTCCTCAATATTGGAGTGTGAGGTGTGCAATGGCCCAAAAGCTGTACATGGTCAGATCCTCTAGCTGACAGCTCATTTACCACCCACAGCTCTACAAATATTACAGTTTAACTGCCAAACCATCAGTTGTTAGTGTAGTTTTGAGGCGCTGCATTATTTTTAATTCATATGTAAATGTTCTCCTCCGTATTTTGTTGTTAATGCTCAACAGAAAACATACATAAATAATCCAAACAAACAATGGTATGTAGATTTGATGTGCAAGCCATCACTATACTTAGCAGCCCACTTTTAACAGCAAACCAAAAACCACATCTATTTTAGCATCAGGTTTGGGGTCTCCGGGCAGCAGGGGAAGGAGCGGGGAGCACGGGTGAGTAATTATTCTGGAAGCTTTAAGAAAGCCAGAGTAATTCTCGTTTAATTCAAAGCCGCATCGCATTATATTGTCAATCACTCGCATGTTGCAGGCAGATATTGTAAGATGTGGGTCCTCAAATGAAAACATCAAAATACTAAGAATTAACCCAAAGTGAGGTAGCGCACAGAGATACTCTTTCACACTCTCTTACAGGTTAACGGTGCTCGCATGCGTAAAAACGGACCATATTCTCTTAAATTCTCCTCACAGGAAAAAAAGACGCTCAGCATCCAATTGTCTTGAACATCTCTGCCACTCTGTGGCCAAAGTGAATCCATGTAGCAGTTCCCAGAAGGTTTTGTTTTTCTGATCTTGCAAAAAAAATAACTGCCAGACACAAACCATCACTGCTTACTAACAAGACACGCTCATCCACCAGCAGACGGCACATTAGGTGGTTCAGGTTTTCGCCTAATTAGTTTATTCCCACATGGATCATTTCCCCAGCGATGTTTCCACTGATGAGTATTCTCTACGGGATATTTCGCTTGTATAACATTAGGACGTGTGTGAAAATATCATAGGATTAAATAACATTTACTGCGCAAGTTAAACTTCTGCTACGTCTGCTCCCTGCGCCGTTACACTTTGATGACACAATACAAACAACTTCAAATGAATCTTCAATCTGTGGACGCGGAGAACTAAAGAGATTCATGTCAGAACCGGCGTTTAATGATTAGGAAAAGGGAGATAGAGCCCGTTGTCCGGTAGGAAAGTTGAACGGGACCAAAACCAAACCCGTGCGTCTTTGTGTCGTTGAGAATGAGCGCGCGCACTCTCTGAAGGTAATTAAGGACCCCGTTAATTGGCTCAAACTTACAGGTAGCTGCCACTCGTCAGGATCAGGAAGATCTGTGGATAATAGACTGACAGCAGTACACTGCGCGACGAGAAGATGATCATGATGACATTGAGCAAATGGCCACGTTCGGATTGAGTGAGACGACGCGGGCAGGATGAAAAACTTCCTTAATTCCCGGCTTTTAAGTCCCTTTAGCACAAGATCAAAAAAAGAGCTGCTGTGCGTCTCCTTGTCTTTGGCGCGGTGGCTCTACGCAGCTCCAAGCTCCCAGGGCCGTGTGTGCGCTGAGATTGGCTCTGTCATCTCTCAGCGGCGGAGGCTGTTACACAGTACCGTGGGTTCCCGAGCCGGAATGATGATGGTTTTAGGGATTTTGCATGGCAGAAAAGTGCCTCTCTCCACTCTCGTGAGAGTCGTGCCTGCCATTGGGCAGGGAGAGACACTGCTATCCGCCCACTTTGCCACAACGGGACAATAGGGTGACACTGATCCGATCCCCGTTGGACGTGCAGGAGGTTTCATTCACCATCATCATCATCCCCCCCCCCCCCCACACACACACACACACACACACCCTCCCCTCTCCACATCCACCACCATCATCCAGCCAAAAATAAACAAACATCGACGCTGGCTGCTTGAGCCTCACACACGGCTCCATGTGCAAAAAATCTGCACATTTCCTTGGCAGGATGTCGTGCTGAATCAACTAGTTGGTGTCATGTTAACGCACAAAAGTCTTTGTAATGTGCCTGATGTGATTTTCGTAATATTTCTGTATGGCTGTCTATGTGAGCGTGAGCATAGAGCTGTCATTACCCTGCTGAAAATAGTTCTCCCTATCTCTTGTGATATTCCTATAATTGTTATATTACATTTGGGAACTATACAGTGGTATGTCCTCTGGTAACAGGTTTTCCTATAATACTTCCTTAGAGACATGAACTATCTTTGTGGTACTCAAATATGAGTTTATTATTTCCTGTGGTATATTCCTATAGGCGTCTATAGTATTTATGCCCATGTCTGCCTGTGCGCTCTGATGGCTGGGTTCAAATATTCGTTTTGTGCCCCTTGCTGTAAAATGGAATAATAATCTCCCCAGACTGAGGGACTGCTGAAGGTGAAGGTATAAGAAAATAACACCGTTGTTGCCCGAGATTGGATCTGAGGAGAGAAATAAAATACTTGGGGAGGTTTCGTCTCCGAGCTTACCGAGTGGAGGGCTTTTATCGCAACAGCATCGTGACTCTCACTCAACACCTGCATGCTCCAGTCATTGTAAATGAAGAGGGTACCATGAAAGATTTAGCCGGAGTGAAAGGATGGAAGGAATGAGCTAACTGCTCGGGCTTAGTAAACACGGAGATGGGAGACTTCCCCCCCCTTATTGGAGCTCTGTCATGTGATATGAGCATCTGTCAGTTACACGCTTCACTCCACCTGAGGTTCTCACAGGGAGGGCTGACACTTGTTTTGTTGGTTTGGTTCATTGTGGCTGCAAGAAGCATCGAAAATACTATGAGAGCAGTATATATAAAGCTTTGAAGTTGTATGGGCTCAGTCTGTTTTACTCTGTTTAAAAACTGGCTGTATGTGTGTGGCAGTTTATATTTCAGTTACTAACGTCTAATTATTTCATGCGCATTTTTTATTTTATTTTGCGGTTATTCAAGAGAACAAACGTGGCGCATAAAAAGTTGTCTGTAATATGGATCAATAATCTATAATAGTGTTGAGGGAAAAAATCCAATCACTCATAGATCTTGTGGGTTTACCCTCCACTGCATCCTTATCAAGCATGCATTGTTCCATATACCTGTATAAGTTTGGGCCCTTAGAGATTATTATAAGTATGTATAGTTATACATTTTAGGAAGGTCAAGGTCAAGATTAAAAATGTTAAAATTATAATGTTATACCGGTAATTATAAATGTTTCTACTATTTAGCATACGTATTTCATGAGTAAAGAACGCACACAACATTAACCGTCCCATGCATGTACAGCTTGAAGAAAATCAACAAAAAAAAAATGTCCCAATTGGATTCTCATGAGACTGAATTCGTCAAGATACCACAGTGTGTCTACCTGAGGGTCCTAATATGATTGCGGTAGAAGGAACGGATAGAAGTCCATCTGTGTTTATGCATCAAGGTGAGGTATTGCAAAACAGGTAAAAACTCCGTCTGGGCAATGGAATGTGGAAATACAACTCAGTCTGCCGCTATTAATGAAGGTATGCAGGGGTGAGCTGGATCTGGAGCAGAGACAGCGGCTCAAATTATCTTGTGCGACAAAGGAGCAGGAGTCTCATGAGGTGAACTTAATAGCCCTCTGACAGCGAATACGAATCGATCATATTGCCTGTTGGCATGAGACCTGATCTGCCACTTTTACGCACAACACATTCCCCAGGTGCATGCGTTTGGACATAATGATTAAAATAGTTGTTTTAAATACACCTGCTGCTGAAAAGTGGGGTTTTTTTTTCACAGCATGCTTAAGTCTGAGGTCAGAGGGCAGCCGATGCTCTCCTGTAAAGAGTTTCATTGTCAAGAGTGTCGCAATGACTTTCTTATTGCGCATGTGAAGCAAACAGTCTACGCATGTAACCACAGGTAATACAAAAAAAACTCACCCAAGTCTGAGGTATATGATGCCAAAACACAGGAACACGTAGAGACTCCGCTTTCGGAGGGGTTTGTGCATGATCGTTACCACTTTGTCCAGAGGCCATGCACTGTAACATAAAGTGGTCACGCTTTCCGTTCACATTGGCAGGTTTCCTAACCCTTCCAGATGCACGTATACCGCCTATTTTCCGCGACATGGAGCTGAAGCGACTTTGAAATCTTCGACCGTGTGAAATCCATGGTCCAGCAGTGCAGGTGAGATGCTGATGACGACCTGAAAGGTGGATAAGAACTCCAAAATGAAACTTGAGAGAGGGTCGGACTTGAAAGGTGAATGAGTTCTTGGAGGAAGTGCCTCCTATTTGTCCTTACTTTGACGGTGGAGCCTAATTAGCAATTCCCATTTGCTGCGCCTTGCAGGTAGAAAAAAAACAAAAAAACAACTAGTTACACTTACTGCAGTGCCCTGTCAACCCTCTGGATTTGGTTTTTGTTTAAAGCTTTTGTGCATCGCTCGCCGTTTCTATTCATCGAAGACATCTTAAACTCTGTCCACGTTACTAACTTACAACGGCCAGGTACTCTAATACAGGTAACAAAAGGGCTACACTCCTCCTCCTCCTCCTCCAGCATGGATATGCAGGGGATGGGACGGGCTTGAAGTCTGAGCTCAACACGTGTAGTTGTTGTACAGAAAACTAAAAGGAAACCAAGCGAAATGGCTTTTTATAGGCCTGTAGCCGAGGCGAGGCTGGTGCTTGTTGCTTGCAACATTGGGCATTGCCCCACCAGTGTGGGCTCCCCGGATGGACTTCACCACAACAGTAAACCCCATAAAGTCAAACAGACGAGGAATGGCTTTCCAGCTGTAGGAATAAAAATTACCATTGCATGACTAATAATGACTAACAATAATGAACTGGCGTCATGATAAGTATCTGCCAGTGAGGTTCTGTCAGTCACTTTGATTAACAGCGCAATGCATGAACAAAACAACACAAACATCCATGTTACCATTACTTGGGTTTGAGTCAGGGTGATGTGGATTTTGAGCAGATGTTCAGAATACAGTCAACCCCTTTGGGAGCTGTTATTTGACTAAGAAGACTCCCTCTGGTGGCAACATAGAGTACAGAGAAAAACCTCTTGACTGTAGTGGGGCTGCTGCATCACAGTCCATTCACAATCAGGAGTGAAATACTGTGGGCGCGCTGCAGACCAGTGCAGAAATGCATTAATGTGTGTGTTACGGTGAAATAACATTAAAATATCTTCAGAACAAAATTATATCATGGAATTGTTTCATCCTGACACTGAATTAAGTCACCCACTTGATAATTTGTGATGAGTTTATGGTCTTGTGGCTTCAAATTTAAGTGTAGTTGTGAGGGTTTTCAAAAAAGTTTAAATACTACTTTTCACATATTTAATAGAACAAAATTTCGCTAAATGTGTTGAGTTAGTGAGGAGGAACTTTAATATTGGGTGAAACACAACTTACACCAACTTAAATCAGAAAAGAACAGTTTTCCTGCAGCAAACAACACTCATCCTGATATTTTTCCCCTCTTCCTGACTAGTCTAGGAACCCCATTCGCTTTTCTACATTTTATGGTCTTTGTTCAATTTCTTAACAGAACACATAAACCATCAATTCAGTATATTTCCAAGAAACTGCATGAAAAATGGCTAACGTGTTGTAATAATGATGGCTTAAACTAAAATTACAGACATGAGCTATCTGAGCACATAGACTGCCAGGCTGTTGTTGACCACGAGAAACAGACAAAACCGCAGAGACCTTTGTTTCAAGACATCCCTGCATTGTGGTTTCAAGGCCTTTTCCTTCAAAACATGCCCATCAAAATTCCAGATGGATTTTAGAAATAATGAAAGTCAACATGCGGGCCCAGGGTGACATAAAAAAGACATGTATTTGATGTCTACCCTGTAACAGATGGTCTTGTTTGTCTTCAAATGTACATAGCTCATCGTCGAGGCCTGGGTGGGGATGGTCCTGTTTAGTTTAATTAAAATGTTCAAAGAGCCAACACTTTTTTATTAAAGCAGGATCAAGACCAGGGACAGTGTGCGTCAGCGTTATTTGTCACCCGCCATTGTCATTATAGACATGTCACACACATCCACGCTCGCTCGTTGTCGACGCACACATTCCTGTGCACGCTAACAAACATTATCTGTCTCTCTGCGTCCACACATACAGTAAGTATGCATACGGACACACAAATCAAACTGTAGACACAAGCACTGCGGACACACACAGAGACTCTCACACACACTGTAGCACTTGGGTGGTATGTGGAAGATCTTGTGACACACTGTTTATTTAACTTCAAAAAGCTGAGGCAGGGATGAGAGCATTTGGGTCAGCGAGGACATATCAATCTGAGTAAGTCATACGCCACATCACTACTTGTGCTTTATGCTGCATTACAGGCCATTGTATTTGAAATATTTCCTCTTAGAGTCTCCTGAAAGGCGGTCGCTGTCCTCCTTGCTCTGTACTTACACTCTTCTCAGTCTGCTCCATTACTTTAATGACTGTCAGGCAAACCTTTTTCAAGATTGCACCATTGTGTATCTGTTCCTTTTCATATGCATGTACTCTTCCCAAAAAGTAGAGGGGAAAATGTTGGGAAGAAAGGGGGGAAAAAAGGAGGGGATCGTATTTTGGCAAGCACTGGATAATATGTCGCACTGTCTTTTTGAATATTATTAAGTACTCTTGACCGACAACTAAATAAGAAAACCCACCGGTTGCCCATGTGTTTGCATAGGAGCTGGTTCAGCTGGAAACAGTGAGACGGCTGAAATGGAGAGCTTGCCAAACCATGGAGTGGCGTCTGGGGCTGGGTCCACCACATCTACACTGGGCCCCAGGCAAGAGGGGGGAAACGGCTATTATGCACTCGCAAAGTCCCCCTCTCTCCATCTCCATCAGCCATCTCCCTGTAACTCTCTGTTTTTCTTGATCTTAACACTTCCCTCAATTAACCGAGCTCAGATTTAGTTAGAGAACATGTCGCAGTGAAAGGAAGCAGCCCCAAAGGAAGGAAGAGGATTCACAGAGGTACGCTGAGAGAAAGTGACCTTTTAGACCTGGATGTCACATGTCTCCTCGTACATCTAACTGTGGGGTCAGAGGTTAAACCAACTCTACCAGTCCTCCCATCCTGACCAATGGGTTTGACCTTTTCCTCTCTCCTGTTCAGTCACAGCTGTGGATAGGGAAACAGGGTGTGATCTGATTAATTCCTCACCATGTTCACTGATACGTAAGATCCTTATTTGTGTGCATGTGTGTGTGTGTGTGCACACGCATGCGAGCAGATTTGCCAGGCTGGCTCCGTGTGTATCCTAGCCTGTTTGTTACCGAGTGATTAACCCAGGCTGAAATGCTGCACCATGCCCTCTCGATGGAAAGCAGGTTTTCTGTGGCCTGGCCTCACTAGGGTCCGATACCAATTGGGGAGCTTGTATAAAGTTTGAACTGAAACTCAAAGGGAGAGCAGTGTTTTTTCTCATGTTAAAACCTTTAAACACTAATTTGCAATGTTGCTATTTTAAATAGGGCTCGCTTCTTAGCAAGGCTGCTAGCCAAACTGTCATGGGAGTTTTTCTGATCAGGCCAGGGCTCCGAGACAGAACAGGGAGGTGGGATCAATTTACCAAAATCTGACAGTCTGGGACACCACGCCAAAGCTGTAGCCTCTATTCAAGAGCACACTCAGTAAAGTGAATGAAATGGCTTAGAGGAAAGAAAAGAGTCTAGTTTCAAGTTGGAGAGGCCTGAGAATGACAGAGATTAGGATTTGTTGCTACTGTGCCATGTGTCTAGACCTGGCTCTTGAGTATATGAGTGGGACTGTAGTTGGATATTTTCACTGAAGTAATATACACTTAATAATGACTGTATGTGATAGTTCAGCAGTAATAAATGCTGCTAGAACACGCCACCATTGGCAATCTTTGCTACATAAGACAACATAATTGATGTTTTGTTTTTCTGACTTTATGTCTTCTGCTAAAACACTTACAGGCTAATATTTGCTAATGAGCCGAAAGCACAATAAAGTACAATGTGAAAAATGTGTCTTTACAATAGGGATGCATTGGTTCCATTTTTTTCCCATTTGTTCAGACCAAGTACAATTACATACATTTGGATCCTTACCGATACCAAGTATCGATATGAGTACTTAATAATACCTTTACAGCTCTAACAATGACTTTTATTTTCATCAGATGTTCCTCATTTGTGTTAAAGGAGCTACTTTTCACCCCTCCCCATGACAGTTTAGCAGAGCATAGTTTGCAGTCTTCTATACTTTTGTCATTTTTTAAATCTTTTTTATTATATGGCTTTTTTATTATAATACGTCCAAACTGCTTACCTTAAAGCCGCAGAGATTAAAATAGCATTGCCATAAAGTGGTACTGGGTGCAGTGGTATAGAATAGGTTTATGATTACGATTGTGAGTACATGAGCATAGTATCAGACCCAGTACTTGATACTGGTATCCCTGCTGTACACTTCAAAACTTCATGTTAGTTTATTGAATATGTTAAAAAAAAACAAAAAAACAACAACATTTGATTCATCTTTGCAGCTTTTCCTTCCCAAATAACAGAAACAACAAACCGGAAGAACAGATTAGTTCTTTGACTTGGTGTGGAGGATTGCACGGAAATTGTATTACTTCCAGAGATCACAATATCATGGTTGTACCCACATCAAAACTTTGATATGTAAAAGACTCAAACTTATAGTCCCCTAAATCCCAATGAGAAAGTCATCTGCAATGTCAATGCTCCCATTTCATCCTCAAATCAGACTGGACTTGCCTGACTGCTCCAAAGAAGTGATTTGTATGCAGGTGCTTGAACTGAAATCAGATGGACAGGAATTGTGCCACAGTTTGCACATGAGCTTGTCAGTTTTAATAAGAGCGGGACATCCACAAAGGGCCATATGTGTTGTGTAAGGGTACGTTACTGCTGTTTTTAAAGTGTTATGAATACAGCCCAGTTTGACTTAGTAGAACACTAAATGCAGGAACAATGAATTTCATCACTAAAAAACAAAAAACAACAACAAAAAAGACTGATGATACAATAAAAAATACATAAACCACATTCAGTCTCCTTGGTCAGAGAATGGAACCCAGGCATTTACATTCACAATAAAATCTGACAGGCATATGGCTTGTGTCTGTACCAAAGGCCCCAGACCTTGTGTGCAGTGGAGCGAATATAAGCAATACTCTCTGTTGGCCTCTAATAAGCCCGAGGATATGAGAAAAGGTCTGAGAACAGACAGAGTCCACGTCAAGTTGGCACTTTGGATGGGATTTCATCTGAAATATTAATATCATGACATGTTCCCTATGTCCAGAAGCAACAATTCAACTGGATAATTGCTGTTTTGTTTTCAAAAAGGCAGCTTGACTATGAAAAAAAGACATTAATAAAGCATAAATGACATAAAACAGTAAGTTTGAGGTTCATTTTATGACATTTAGAGTGCTCTTAGCACTCCAACATGGCCTATAGTTCTTTAAATAACCATCTTGCATCACTGATTCCAGCGCACATTGGTCTCATTGGCTGAGAGCTATTAGTGAATGTTCTGAGCATGTTTTGCCTCAATAGGCAGGAATATAGACGAGATAAC